ACAGTTAGAACTGGATATGGAACAACTGATTGGTTCAAAATTAGGAAAGGAGTACGACAAGGCTGTATATTGTCTCCCTGCTCATTCAACTTATATGCAGAATACATCATGCAGAAGGCTGGACTGGAGGAATCCCAAGCCGGAATTAAGATTCCCTGAAGAAATATCAACAACCTCCGATATGCAGATGATACCACTCTGATGGCAGAAAGTGAAGAGGAATTAAGGAACCTTGTAATGAGGGTGAAAGAGAAGAGCGCAAAAATGGTCTGAAACTCAACATCAAAAAAACTAAGATCATGGCCACTGGTCCCATCACCTCCTGGGAAATAGAAGGGGAAGATATGGAGGCAGTGACAGATTTTACTTTCTTGGGCTCCATGATTACTGCAGATGGAGAGGCAGCACCCACGAAATTAAAAGACACCTGCTTCTTGGGAGGAAAGTGCTGACAAACCTTGACAGCATCCTAAAAAGCAGAGACATCACCTTGCCAACAAAAGTCCGCATAGTCAAACTATGGTTTTCCCTGTAGTGATGTATGGAAGTGAGAGCTGGACCATAAAGAAAGCTGACCACCGAAGAATTGATGCCTTTGAATTGTGGTGCTGGAAGAGGCTCTTGAGAGTCCCCTGGACCGCAAGGAGAACAAACCTATCAATTCTAAAAGGAAATCAACCCTGAGTGCTCACTGGAAGGACAGATCCTAAAGTTGAGGCTCCAATACTTTGGCCATCGCATGAGAAGAGAAGACTCCTTGGAAAAGACGATGATGTTAGGGAAGTGTGAAGGCAAGAGGAGAAGGGGACGACAGAGGATGAGATGGTTGGACAGTGTCTGCGAAGCTACCAGAATGAATTTGACACAACTCCAGGAGGCAGTGGAAGATAGAAGGGCCTGGCATGCTCTGGTCCATGGGGTCACGAAGAGTCGGAAACTACTAAACAACAATAATAACACAAGTGGGATATAAATGTAATAAATGAGCAAAGGCTCACAATTTCATGTAAAAATACTGATACTGAGGGTTCAGACCTAGAAGGTGCTGTTTTGTACATGGAAGGCATCTTGCATTTATGGAAGGGCAGCTTGCGTCACACAATTAAATTGAAAGTTCATCTAAAGATAGTGGTCTGATTTTTAACATCTTGCAGAAGCCTAGGGAATTGTATGTTATCTGTATTATATACCATAGCATGAACTCTTGTTCACATATTTATCAAAGAAATGCTAGAAGTTATTTTTCTTCTACTCTTAGTTCACTGAATACAAGAACAATTAGAACACTAACGGATTGGTACAATATCGAAATATCAATATAACTGCAGTATTGCTTCAATTCTTCTTTAAACTCCATTTGTTAAAGGCTCATAGGATTATATTATGTTCAAATGCAGAATATATTGACATCCTTTTGTTAACTATAAGGTGTTATCCAGAAAACTATTTCAAGAATTTTACTGTGAAACAAAGCTATGTGAACATCTAAAAAGAGAGCAAACGTTTATTAAGTTACCTTTCTGATTATACAGTACTGTCAGACTTTATGAATCCAGTGTTGACAATAGTCCAAAGCTTAATCCATATTTTTTCTGCAACTGTGTTTATGCGATGTATTAGTTAAACAAAATTGTTATGAAATTTAAATGTGCCTGGAAGCCATCTGTTTATATAGATTTAACTCCACGTAAGTGTGGAGTTAGCTTTTCTCAGTCCCATTGACTTCAGTGGGACTTATAGGTATCAAAACATAAGAGGGATGCAGGTTGTGAATAGCTTTACATAAATAAAGTGTCCAAATAAGTATGAACAATTAGCATACATAAAGTACATTATTTCTTAGTAGTTGAAATTTACTTTATTTTTGTATTTCATTGCAATAATCTCCAGGCTCTGAAGATCAAGTTCTCTACATTGCTAATGACACTGATATCCTGGGTTTTGTATATCCATTCAACTACAGTGATGTTCATCAACAGATTACACATATTGAACATAATTCAAGAATTACGGGAATGGATCTATATTATCAAGGGGAAATTATTATTTGGAGTACTCAGTTTAATCCAGGAGGCATTTTCTATAAAAAGATCCATGAGGGAGAAAGGAGACCAAAAAATAGTGGTGTGATAGTAAGTAAACTGTGCTGCTTTTTCTTATTCTTATTTTGCAACAGTTTCTGGAGAGGAGTTGATTTACTTTTCTATGTTGTAGGACATAATGTTCAAATATAGTAAATTATAAATAGTTTAGTTATAATAGCTACGAATGTCAAAGTATTTGTCCTTTTTGTTTACCTGTAATTCACAATATTTCAAGTTAGCAATAATAGGAGGATTTTCCCCCCTCCTTGGGAGTTTTCTGATGATAAAATGATAAAAGATTGCCTCATTTTCAGTGATCCTCCTCTGAGATTCTTTTTACCTTTGAATTTAGACAAGCAGTGAACAGAGAGGAAAACTTCCCAGCTGTAGCAATGCACATGTGAAACCCAACCCCACCAGGAAATGTACCTCAGGAAACATAGTTATTTTATGCCTTTCCAATGCTTCATAGGCATTTTTATTTGTCTCAGCCAAAACTGGGGAATTTTAGGCCCATGCTTACTGTATCACCTTGCAACTGCACTGATCTTTTAAGGCAAGAATACTTGTAAATGTCTTGCATGGACATTATCTTGCATTGAAGGCAATATATCATTATTTTTAAAATCAGCTCATTATAGACAGAATATAATATTAATATTCACAAGTGAATGCATATTCACATAAAATAGAGAGCACATTACAGAGGAAAATGTAGGACAAAAACAAACTTAATGAATGCTAGTCCTGTAGTGAGGCACCATTGCAAAACCTGAGCAGCTCAATAGTCACATGGGAATGAAATGCTAGTTATTTAGAACACTGTGCATGGAGATTGTGATAATCCAGGAAAAGATCAGGGTCTAACAAACAGCTTACCTATTATCCTTAATTTCCCTGTGGCTTCTTTCTTGGAATTATATGGACTTTGCGAACAAGATAGGGTTTTTTTTTATGGTGGATGTTAAACCTCTGAAGGTCTTTGCTGGAAATGATATTTTTCATAGGAACCTTTTTTGTTGTTCTTACAGACTTAAAATGTATATATTGTAAATCCTGCATTTAAGATACCCTTTAAACACAGGTTTGAAATATAAATAAATTAACAGACAAAACTGGTCAAAGAAGTGTGTAAGATTCTAAATTTAAAATCTGGTTACTCTTCCTAGTGTCCTGAATTCAAAAGACCTAGAGACATTGCAGTTGATTGGATAGCTGGAAACATATATTGGACCGATCACTCAAGAATGCATTGGTTTAGTTACTATACAACTCACTGGACAAGCTTAAGGTATTCCATCAATGTAGGACAGATAAATGGACCAAACTGCACAAGGCTTCTTACAAACATGGCTGGAGAACCATATGCAATTGCTGTAAATCCTCCCAAAGGGTATGTTATTTGAAGACATTTTAAGACATTTTACCACATCACAGTTTATCATTCCATTGTGTGTTTCTGTAAGCTGGTATATTTTGTCATTAGTTTCAAGACATTTATGTGATTTGTGTATTTATTTAGTTGTGTTTTTATTGTGGTTTAAAGTGATTCAGAATAAGAAAATAAGTCTCATGGTATGTATTTGTGAGCATGATTTTATATACAGAAAGAGAGAGGCAAATACATATAGATTAACAGATCCAATAGACATATATATTACTAAGACATATTCTGTACAAAATACTTTATGTGACATGATGAGAGTTTTTTGATGCCAGGGGAGGACTGCAACACATGTTGGCAGTGTGTGTGTATGTGTATGTGTGTTTCCAGTTTTGCTCATGTTGGAATGCTAAGTTAGAGGAGTTAGTATATGTTGGTATGAGATGAGTGGAATACTTGCTAAAGTCTTTGTGCTTATCAATTTCCACTGTCTGGATGTGACAGGATAGCTGGATGGGGAATTTTCAAGCCACACAATATTTCCTGCCTCAGTTCAAGAATAGAACAAGGAGTGTTTTTTACCCAGAGACTTTTTGCAACTTATGCAAAATGCCCTTGGGGTTGTGCACATGAAATTTGTGTCCTTTCTTTGTAAGAAATGAAAGAGAGAGAACAACAGAGAAGCTGATGTTTAGAAAGATGCAGAGAGGTTATTTTTAGAGAATTGATGCAAATCATTAATTCCCAGATTCAGGTATTTAAAGGTCTAGCTGTGGGACAAATCAGCAGGTATCACAATTTTGCAAAAATAGACTATGATGCAATTGGCAGAAAGCCATCCTGTGTATAACATGAGAAAATATCTCATATTAGCATTTTCCCATTGTTACATCCAAGGATGAGGTAGTAAGCATCCTGAAATTTGTAGAGTAAGACAAACAGTCAGATTCCCAATTTTAATGCAAACTTTTGAAATTCTTTCTTCTGGGACCTTAATATGTATCTAAATGGGAAAAGTTATACATTGATATTTGCATTTTTCTGAACATTGTAATGGATTATGTGAATCAGAATCTGTGCACAAAGTGTGTCTATAAGAACTAATGTAGATAGAGTTTCATTTGAAAAAGCTGCCTAACTGTTGACTAGATAGGCATTTTCAGCCAGTTTCTTGAAACCACTTATCTGGGCTGAATAAACTTCAGCCATGGCTGACCCAAATGCTAACAGGAATGCAAATCCTGACTTGCCTCCTCTTCACTGGCATAGATTTTTTATTTATTTATTTATTTATTTAATATCCCACCTATCTAGTCGGTTAAGACCACTCTAGGCGGCTTACAGCAAAAAATTGATTGATTGATTGATTGATTGATTGTTTGATTGATTGATTGATTTGATTTGATTTGTATCCCACCCATCTGATACTGTATATACGACCACTCTAGGCAGCTAGATGAGGTTTTGCAAGAGTCCCATCCTTTCTGAAGAGAGTGATGGTATGGGGACAGCCAAGCAAACTCCTGGGAGGGTAAGGTGGACCCTGTGTTACCCAGTTCTGCAATTTGTGCTATGGCAAACTGCTGCATTTTCAGGGTCAATCAAATGGCCGGATGCTCTAGGACAGTGGTCCCCAAGCTCAGGCCTCCAGATGTTCTTGGACTTCAACTCCCAGAAATCCTGGCCAGCAGAGGTGGTGGTGAAGGCTTCTGGGAGTTACAGCCCAAGAACATCTAGAGGCCCAAGGTTGGGGACCACTGCTTTAGAACATTTGCTGTATAGGACATGATTCTTATCCATTTGAATCTATTAATAATGATTTCAAAAGAAAAGATTTGCATCCTTAGCTGTTGCCCACAGAATGTAGCTAACATGCTGGCAAATCTCAGTAGAATCCCACTTGCATTTCATACTATGTAAACAAAATATTATTTTATCTCTGGGATTTTTAGCATGATGTACTGGACAGTAATTGGAGATCACTCTCACATTGAAGAAGCAGCAATGGATGGTACTTTGCGGAGGATATTAGTACAAAAAAAATTACAGAGACCAACAGGTACATAAAGAAGTTTATTTTTCATTGTTTTCCCTAACAGAATTATTTTCCAGAGACCATATGTTTTACTTTATTTTTACACATTGGTCACATAGGCCAGTATCAAATTATTGCCTCTGGATATTGTTGCTTCTAACGGAATAGGATATCTTTGCTCCCTCCTACAGTGCAGCAGTCCATTTTAAAAACATCCACTTCAGGATTGGGAAAACCCTCTAGAGCAGAATTCTGAGGTTTTAGATGTCTTCAATAAGAGGGAAAGGTCCTGATTCTACTGGGTTCACAAGAACATCACTGCATGGGGGGGGGGAAGCCCATGGATATTATTACCTCTGTTGTTTTCATTATGTGCCTCAATTTATTTATAACTTATTGCAGCCATATGAATTAATACCAAAAGGCACTGCCTATAGATGTATGCATTTATATTAAAACAATTGTATTTTTATTCTTAAAACCAAATTAGAATACATTTGTTTCTATTTCAGTGCAATTCATTACATTACAGCCAAGAATAATTAAATCATTTTGTAGTATATTCACAGTCTTGTGTAGGTACTGATTCTCTTTTTGATCCATTCTGTAAATTGTTGTGTGCTGTAACATGGTTTAGTCCCTTTTGTCCTTTTTTAACTGGGCTCTTTTTGTCTCAATCACCTATAAAAAATAAACTTCAGAATATGAGCATTTCCCCCTTTTATTGAAGTGTTCAATCAATGTTAAAGTTCTAGAATACATGTCGCCACTATATATTGCTAGAAGTATCTGTTTTTTATTTATGCTTATTACCTCAGTAGAAAGAATAAGAAAAAGCATTTCCTTCATTCTTATAAAATGATAAATTGTTGGAGCAGCAGGGAATTGAATCATTTTATGCTTCAAATGTTTTACGATCTGCAGCTCTTGACATGATTTGAATCTTCAAATTAATCATGTTACCTACTAACCCATGGCTTCCTAGATTTATCCATAATGCTGTTACCTATAGGTTAGTAAGGCACAATGCATTGTTATTTTCTCTCAGTTTGAATTAGTACAGTTTAAATACTTGGAGTAGGTAAATTAATGCAAATTGTACCCATTAAAATGTAGATTTCATCAAAATGCCATTTTTCAATAAAATGGGATCAGCAAATATTTCTACATATCTTGACAAAGATAAGACAATGAAATCTGGAAAATGAAGCAAAGCCTTATCCAATAGTGAGCTTACAATCAGACTATCCTAATAATTATAAAACGTACAGCAACTAAGGAAATTTCGGCATGTGACAGATGTGGAAATGTTCTTTTTCCATGGGAGTGATATTACTGAGTAGATCCTTGTTGTTGTTGAAAATTAATTTTTTATGACTTTGGTTTATCAGACAAGGAAACAGACATAGAATAATGCAACAGATTATTTCCTTGTATCTAGAAGGACGTTAGGAGCATGGAATGTTCCTAACTCATAGTGTGATATGCCAATGAAAGAAAGGCACCTCCAACAATCTACTTTGGAGAAAGGGTAATTACAGTGTGAAGATGAGGTGCTGCAAGTGTTTGGCATGGTTACCACCATATATCTAAAATTCCTGTTTCTTCTGTTGCTGAACTTTTATCTCTTCTAATTTACTACGGTGGTATTAGGGCAGAAGGAGGAAAATTAGGAGTGCAAGAGCTACACATGGTCTTGGAAGGTATGACTGGGACCTGTAGCCAACCTTTGGGCTACTGACCACTTGGCATAATGGAATAAAGTCTCATCTGATGTTGGAGGGCTATTCAGATATGTCTGTTTGAATATACAGTATATGAATATTGTATATATGAATATATGAATTAAAATAGTGGGGACACAGAGCACCCTCCTTTTCTATTATTTTTCTTCCATGAGCAATTTGTATGGGCTACCTTATTGTTTTATATCTAATGTGTACATGGGCCTCCCTCCTTCGATAGCATGCAAGGAAGTATATTAAAACTCTCTTAATTAAATGTGATTAACTAAATGTGACATGTTTTCTCTATCTGATCTCCTACTCAAATTGTTAACAGTATTGATTATTATTGTTGTTGCTAGATTGCATATTGTCACATTCCCGTCTGTCCCTTGGTTGTTTCACAAAGAAAAGGGCACAAGCTACGTGTCATGTCGCTGCCACCAGTTGATTACATCAGCATTATGTATTATTAATAATAGAGGTCCAGGCAATGTGTCATTTTAAATAGAACCAAATAGAATTTTATTAATACAGGTGATGAAGGTACAATCAATGTCTTCAACTCTTAACTAAACATCCCACTTCATCCACCCTTAACCACCAACTCTCTCTTTATCCATCCCAAACTTCCAAACTACAATCTCCCCAACTCTCAAACTCTCAAAACTCCAATCTATGCTCCTCCTCCTGCAGAGAATCTTATATCTTGTGACTCCACCCCTCCAGCACTCTCATTGGTCCATGCAGATGGCACATTAATATTCATGACCTGGGCAGACACCATACATATGTTAGATCAGCATTAATAATAATGGTTTCTATGCATGTATTTGAGAGCCTTTTCATGGAATTTTCTTGGCAAATGTTTTTACAAGCTAGCTTGCCAGGTCTTTCCTTAACCTTCCCCATTTATCCGGGCTTGCAACCTGCATGTACACTTGAATAAACAAGTGCACACAGCTGGGTTACAGTTTATTTATTTGATACAATCCTCCTCTCAGAAACTCAAGAAGGTCTAAAGTACCAGATCATGAACCTCAAAAAATAAAGTGAGATATTTGGCCTCTTTTTGAATATTAAAAAGACCAAATTCATGAAAACTGCAAAGAATCAAAACATCAAAATTGGTGGAGAGAAGGTTGAATGTGTGGAAGAATTCATCTTTTTAGGTTCACTAGTCAATCAAAATGGTGATTGTAGGCAAGAAATAAAATGTCAAATCATGCAAGGCCGCACAGCAATGATGAGTATGAATCAAATATGGAAAAGTAAGGATGTCAGCTTGATGACCAAGTGCAGATTAGTTTGCTGCATCGTTTTCCCCTTACTGTAACTACATATGTCTGTGAAAGTCGGACGATGAAGAAGATGGACAGAAGGAAAATTGATTCTTTTGGGCTATGGTGTTGGAGGAGGCTATTAATTAATAAAGAAGTGCTGAAGTGCATAAAACCAGACATTTCACTGGAAGGCAAAATAAGAAAACTTAGAAAGTGCAGATTAGTTTGCTGCATCGTTTTCCCCTTACTGTAACTACATATGTCTGTGAAAGTCGGACGATGAAGAAGATGGACAGAAGGAAAATTGATTCTTTTGGGCTATGGTGTTGGAGGAGGCTATTAATTAATAAAGAAGTGCTGAAGTGCATAAAACCAGACATGTCACTGGAAAGCAAAATAAGAAAACTTAGCCTTATTTTGGCCACATCATGCAATCAGCGTTATTGGAGAAAGACATTGTGCTCAGAATGTTCAGTGGTAAAAGAAGATGAGGACTCCGAAGAATGTATTGGTTGGATGTAATCAAAGCAGACACTGGCCAAAATATAAAGCAGCTGAAAGAAGCTGTACAACATCAGAAATCATGGAGAGAGATGGCTGGTGTGTCAGATATGACTAAATGGGTAATTTGACACATGTATTGATGTAAGGTTATACCCTCCAGATGTTGTTGGACTGCAGTTCTCAGTATTCTTCACCAATAATTACACTAGCTATGTCTCATCGGCATTACAGTCTATCAACACTCTACTTACACTTTTTAAAGATAATTTTTTGCTAAAGAAGTAGTGCAGAACATTTTCCAAGACCATTTTGTAAACAGTAGCTGAAATGGAGCAGTAGGTCACAAGTAGAGTAAGCCAATTGGATCAATGGAACATGTGTAGGTGTTGACTCACCAAATCTCCACTGATTCAATGGGCGCACTGTAATGGCAGCTTGCTACTGGACTTAACAGCCACAAGCTATTAAGCAAACAACAGCAAGTTACATAGGAGACACAATCTAATTTCTACAGTTTTCATAAATTTAATCTTATGGTCACAATCCTATTTAAAAATATATACTGGAGAGTGATTCTATAGTAGTTATGAAACCAATATTGCAAATTAGGACATGAGAACTGATTGTGCAAAGGGAGAATGTAACAAGATTTTGCATATTTATTAAATGACATTAGATTCTCACAATGTCTATTCAGTTACTTACAGCCTGTTCTGGCTTTCTGATATGTTGTAATAGGATTGTAATTTATTCTATAAATTTATAAATAATGTAATGCTAGATATTAATATATAGGAAGGTTTTCATTCAGTGAAAATATTAAAAGCTGGTAGACACAAATCCAGATTCAACAGTCTTGCAAGCAGGTTTTTAAAACTACTTTTACCGATTGTTTTATGCGACTATGAAAAAACATGTGCTCTTTTTTTCTATATTTTTACATAATAATTTTAAAATGTTTTCTATTTTACAGGTCTTGTAGTTGATCACTTTAGTCAGCGCTTGTTCTGGGCAGATTTTGAATTGTCTGTAATTGGCAGTGTTCTCTTTGATGGCTCTGACTTGGTCATATGTGTGAGCAGTAAACAAGGTATGCACATTTTTAAAGTTAATGGCATTGCAGACTGCCCTGTAGTTGAACACAGCACTTATTTGGTTTTGTAAAACAAATTAACATCTTGAGAGGGATTTATTGTACTAATGGCAGCAAAAGTTAGAGCTCTATGAATTGTTCTTCAGATAGCAGCCTGACTCCCTGTATAAGCTACAAGAGACAGTGATGCTCCATTTTATGGATAACTGCAGCATTTGATCTTCTGCTTGAAAAACAGGTATTCTCCTACCCCAATTAAAATGTAAATAAATATAGATGAACACCAAAAAAGATGAAGAGGCTACAGAGGATTCTGTTTTACTTCCTGTTTCACATGGATTGTTATGCATTACTGCTCTAACTGGGTCTTTATTACTACCTGTGTTTACCAACTCTCAGAGTCAGATTTGTTTGTTCCTTTTAAATATTGGCATATTTATTGTTTTAGTTTTAGTATTTTCTTTTAATGGTGTAAGCTGCCTCTTTATACTCATTGTTCTTAGCTTTAAATATTGTATTTTAGTGATGTAAACCATTGTTGTATACTTGTTATTTTCAGCTTCAAATATTGTGTTTCAGTGATGTAAGCCTCCTTGTGTCCTTTTTAAGGAGAAAGGTGGGATAAAAATATTCTAAATAAATGCCTTCTGTAGTACCTTACTCCTGTGAGTTTTTAAAATGATGATTAGTACGTACTTTATTTTTCACTTTATTTTTCCACTGTCATTCAACCATACACTGGTATTGGACTCCTGCTGTAATTTTCCACAAGCCATTGGAAGACTGCAGAAATGGGTGGAAAGGATGTCACTCACCAAAGAGATAAATTACATTCCATATTTGATTTTTTTGATGGTTTTAAAAGTTCCATTGATTGTTTACTTTAGCTGCTGCTTGTAAACTAAAGCTATATCTCCCAATATACCACATATCTTTTATTTGCTGATACTGAAGTGTAACATGGTAGTCATCTAAACTGATATGTACACTTTTTTTTATCCATTCAAGGGTTACTCCATCCTCATAGAATTGACATTTTTGAGAATTATATATATGGGGCAGGACCTAAAAATGGTGCATTTAGAGTGCCAAAATTTGGGCAAGGTTCTGTAGAATATCTGAATTTGGATATTGATAAGACAAAAAGTACTTTGATCTCTCATCGCTACAAACAGACTTACTGTGAGTATTTATATGTATATATTTATACTTCCAATAAATTATTATAAAATATTTTTAAATTTGAGATCCCGTTTACAAAATAAATATTTGAGTAACTGGTTTTGTCCCTTCCTACATACAGGCAGAGGTTATTGTATTTAATATTAATGAGCTATTTATTGAATGTGCAGATGAATATTTCAGTGGATTTAATAATCAGGCAGGGGACAAGAGAAGGAAAAGCCTCCATTTTGTCCTTCAGGGACTGCTGCACATGGATGAAGGTGAAGGTCCATGAAGGAAGATGCGCATTGAGGATAACAATATTGGAGGGTCCTTCCCTTTCAATAAAAAAAAGGGGGGGGGGAAGTATTTCATGAAAAACCAAAACTGTACTGTCCAGTTGCAATGACAGGACAGCTGCTTTCTTTCCAGTTACTATGATCCAAATGCAGTTTATTTACAGTTACCCTCGTGAAGCATGAATGCTTAGCAAAGAATTATCTACAGTTCTACAATTGCCAATTAATTCCCTTTGTTATCTCGTCATGGTCATGTTTCAGGGCTCTTCCTGATATTTGTGCTACCTTGTTCTAGCTTCCTTTGTTCTGCTTTGTCCTACAACCTGTCTCTTTATCCTAGGTTTACAGGGATATGTGTCCACCAGGTAATTCCTCACTCCCATGCTGTGACCATGAAAACAAAACACTTTCAGGAAACACAAGTGGTTTACCTTTCCTTTCTTCTGGCAGGTGTTCTGGGATAGTTCAGTTTACTCAAGGCTACACAGGTTGCCTGTTTTCTTAGGATGCACAGTAGGAACTTGAACTATCAACCTCTGGCTCCACAGCCAGATACCCAATTCACCGAACTATCTACCCAGCCTATTTTTAAATACATGTTTAAAAATATATATCTCGGTCTGAAATTTATGGGAAAATATAAGCATGTAATAAAAATTAAAAATTTCCAAGTGCCAGAAATACCATTAACAGTTACAGTACAATCCTAATGCCAGTGCCACCCCAATCACAATTAAGGGAATCATCAAGATACTGCGGGGATGTCCTCTCACCAGGCCTTCTGGAAAGTTCCATACATGGAAATGTACCACTTGCTTTAGGAAGCCTGTGAAGCAACCTGTGGTAAAAGCATGATTTCCTTCTCTGGCTTCATTTAGGATTGCTCTGTTCACTCTGTGCTGAACACCTCCTGTAAGAATCAATGCATTTTGGAATGTCCTGACTTTGAGTAGAGAAAGTTTAAGTAGGAAAAAAGTTGCATAATTTTTAAAATAAAAATTAATCTTGATTAGATTGTACCACCAATTAACATTTTGAATAATAAAACAGAAGCTTACTGTAGGAAATGGAAGTCTTATTCCTGGGATTAAATGCACTGGCTGGAATCCTGTCGAAATATCTGTGAACTACCCTTTTGCCCATTGTACCCTGAAAAAAAAAAGACAAATGTTGTGTGCATGGATATTTCAAGAGGATGCTGACCACTACTTATTAAATCAACATTATATTATAGTCCACTGATCCCTGGGACAATATCCAGCAAGTATATATTAGAAAGTTTCTTCCGAGGTTGGAGACAAAACTCCAATGTCAGAGAAAGATAAAGACCCAGGCGATCACCTTTATGATTTTGGTGATTCAGTGTCCAAAGAGGAAGCAAGGAGATTCGTGTGCATGACTAGTATGAGCAGAGCAGCGGAGGGTTAAGATCTATAGAATCCAAAGCCCTTTCAACATTTCACCACACTCCAGCATGGAGGATCTTATTTTTCTCCAGCATGGAGGATCTTATTTTTCTCTGTCTGCCCATTTATTTTGGAAACAATCCCTTTAATCCTTCTCTGATATTTTCTGTCTCTTTCCAAACAGCACTCAATCCTTGCCTGGAGTTTACTTGTGAGTTCCTATGTTTACTCAACCCTTCAGGTGCAGCTTGTGTTTGTCCAGAAGGAAAATCACTGTTCAATGGAACATGCAGTGATTTGAATGTTTCAGGTGTGTATTAACAATTTAGATAGGAAAGAAAGCAAAAACAACTGTATGAATTTATGCCTGCCCGTTAGTTTGTCTGTTTACTTGTTGACAAATCATCAGCTAGAAAACCTTGCAAAGAACTGTGTTAATACCCTTTAAGAGATCTTCGGGTAGGGTGGGCGGCATATAAGTTAAATAAATAAATAAATAAGTAGGTGCAAGCCACTGTTTAAAAAAAATGTAAAAAGAACAATTTCAGGGGAGGCAAGGTGGAAACTAACTTAAATGAATTCATAGAATGTTCTTGATCTTTGAACTAGACTCTCTTCTAAACTCTTAAGTCTGCCTGAAGGTTGCATGCTGCAGAGGCCTTTCTTTTTCAATCTTCATGCTTTGGAATGGTTGAGAAAAAAAATCCCTTTTTATGGGCTTGGATTCTATCACTAGGCTGGATAACTATTTGGAAGCAAGTGGTCAAATCCCCTCCTCCATTCCCCAGGAAATGCCACAAGGCAATTTTTCTGGAAGCTACTGGCTGAATCCTACCTTTTGGTGTCATCTAACTCCAAGAAGAGAGGGACATGGTGGCGCTGCGGATAAACCGCAGAAGCCTCTGTGCTTCAAGGTTGGAAGATCAGCAGTTGTAAGATCGAATCCACACAACGGAGTAAGCTCCCGTCGCTTGTCCCAGCTCTTGCCAACCTAGCAGTTCGAAAGTATGTAAAATGTGAATAGATAAATAGGTACCACCTCGGAGGGAAGGTAATGGCGTTCCGTGTCTAGTCACGCTGGCCATGTGACCACGGAAACTGTCTACGGACAAACGCTGGCTCTACGGCTTGAAAATGGGGATGAGCACCACCCTCTAGAGTCAGACATGACTGGGCTAAATGTCAAATGTTACCTTTTTGGTTGTTGTTTAGTCGTTAAGTCGTGTCCGACTCTTCATGACCCCATGGACCAGAGCACGCCAGGCCCTCCTGTCTTCCACTGCCTCCCAGAGTTGGGTCAAATAAATGTTGGTAGCTTTGATGACACTGTCCACTCATCTCGTCCTCTGTCGTCCCCTTGTCCTCTTGCCTTTACAGTTTCCCAATTTCAGGGTCTTTTCCAGGGAGTCTTCTCTTCTCATGAGATGGCCAAAGTATTGGAGCATCAGCTTCAGGATCTGTCCTTCCAGTGAGCACTCAGGGTTGATTTCCTCCAGAACTGATAGGTTTGTTCTCCTGGCAGTCCAGGGGATTCTCAAACCTTTACCTAACTCGAGAAGTACTGCCTGGCTGTGAAGACAGCTTCAGGGACTATATATCATCCCAGTTGAGTGCACCACATTAGAAGACTCTCCACTTTTATCTCTTAAAATTGACTGGAGAAACCAGTAATTCCCCAACTGATATTCAGGATCTGTCCTTCCAGTGAGCACTCAGGGTTGATTTCCTCCAGAACTGATAGGTTTGTTCTCCTGGCAGTCCAGGGGATTCTCAAACCTTTACCTAACTCGAGAAGTACTGCCTGGCTGTGAAGACAGCTTCAGGGACTATATATCATCCCAGTTGAGTGCACCACATTAGAAGACTCTCCACTTTTATCTCTTAAAATTGACTGGAGAAACCAGTGGTAATTCCCCAACTGATAGTATCATGAACTCTACAAGTAATCTCAGCAGTGATCATAGAAATCATCAAAAATTCTCGACTCCAGGTGGAAAAGAGGCAGGCGCTTGTTGGGAAGTTCCTTATACTGGAAAGTGAGCCTCACTGGGCCATATTAGGCCTGCAGGCTGAAGGTTCCCTGTCTCTGTTATACAAGCTTATTTCCATGTGCAGTATAATTTCCATATTTGAGGCTGAGATAAGTTCTGTTTGTCCCAGGACATTCATTTCAATCTTAATATCACATGTGGTGGACCTGCTTGCCTGTTATTCCTTTTTGGATAACTGTATTCAAGAAAATGGGAAACAATATAACCAAGCAGTTTATACCTTTGTTATGCATTCTCTCAATGTTTATTGATAAGAATAGTTGCATTAAGAATAAGGACTTGATTATCTTTATGTATTTGGTTGCAAGATTAGAGATAGCATTGCAGTGGAAAACTGGTAGGAACCTCTGGGTAATTGGAAAGCAAGTCTCTGGAATTTGGCTGTAGTGGAAAAGCTATCATAGGAATCTCGGTAGTCATGATACATTCTTTGTTGCACGGTTTTCTTTTATTAATTATTTAAATAACAAGAATGTTTTACATTCTCCTGCAGCCCATGCCATATTGTGGAACAATACTCATGACAGTATATTTGAGGCTATGCCTTTTACAACAGCCTCTTGTGACTGATTTATACATGAGATTTTTAAATTTTGTATGCATTTTGTAACACATTGTTTAGTTAAAAAACATTTTAAAGGTAGAAAAAAAATCTTGAAATCTTTTTCATCAATATGAGAAATATATCCACTACATATATTACTCATCTCAAAAAAATGTAGATAGTAAGCAAGGACCTAAAAATCTTTCCTGTTGATTTCAGCTAAGCTTACAAATAATATACAGCATTATATATTTTAAACATTATGTGAAGAAGCAATTGTGTGGTTTTTCTAAGACTTCCTGTATCACTAGCATCCATGTTCATCCATCTCTTTCAAGTGCTGCACTAGCTGATGAGGGCATCAAGATCCCCTGTCAAAAAGCTGACTTGCTTTCTTACTTATTTCCTATTTATTTAAAATATTTTTACCCTACCTTTCTTCTTAAAAGGACACATGGCAACTTACAACAATCAAAAGACAATATCTGAAAACTAAAAACAGTGAATATGCAAATATTTAAAAAGAATTATACAAGTATTGTATTAAAAATGACCAATAAAGTCAGTACTAAAACACATTTAAAAACACTGATCTATACTAAAAACATTTAAAAACATTTCCTGCACATGGTACATAATTGTTTCTCAAATGATTGAAGCATGGCAAATATTCCCACAATTTTTGTGAAATGTTGCAGTTGTATTTGCACAGCCATGGTAATAAGCCATTGTCATAGATTTGTAATACTTGTAAAGCAATCTATTCCAATAGTTAAGAGAGATATTCATTGAAAAATAAAAAATAAAGCCACTCCTCAACATGTGCTATGCTGCTGTATTATCCTGGTCCAAAAAAGTATGCAGATCAGTGGAACTAGATGAACAAATGTCTCTGGCTAAGAGAAAACAAGGCCACGAGTAGTAAATGAAGTAAACTGAATCTGTTATTCCTTATGGATCATATGCAGCGGAGCGGAGCAATGGGCATTCAACTTTTCCTATATTCGCAGTACCTTACATTTGAGTACAGTATCTTACAAATGGGATATTTTATTCGTTCATTTTGATTCCATGCCTGGATTTTGCAGTTATTGGAGTTTTATCTGTATTCTTATGCCTTAAGTACAGATAACACATGTAAGCTGACTTGTGAAAATGGAGGAAGATGCATTATAAATGAAAAAGGTGATCCGAGATGTTACTGTTGGCCAAGCTATTCAGGTGAAAGATGTGAAATAAATCACTGTAACAATTACTGCCAGAATGGAGGAACCTGTGTAGCTTCTCTTCTTGGTAAGTATTTGAAGCATTCTGCAGCAAAAAGTTAACATACCAATTCTTCTATCTGCAATTACAAAAGCTTCGCGTTCATTTATAAGGTGTACATGTGTGGGAAGGGTTGAGCTTGGGAAGAAGAATGCAGTCCAGGCCATGATTTCTCCTTCTGACATATATATGGTTGCCAGAGAGGATAGGAATGTCTGTCTACAAATGATATTACATTTCAGATTTGCACATCTGTCACATGACTCAGAATACTTGTTCCTCTACTATTGCTACTATTGGTATAGGATGATACTGTTGGTAGTAGATAAAGAGTTAAGAGAATTGCAAGCAATTGTTCATTATGCCTGGGTATTAATATATATTAACCCGTCCATATAATATCTTGATGGGCATTGTAGGTTTTAGGTCCTCATTATATGAACACAAATGTTAATTTGCTTAACAAATCCCACTGGCAGTTTATAAATTTATACATTATTGGTTTACTTACAGTAAAGCTTGTTGGCAAATTCCTTTGTGGACCTTCTGTAAGTAGAGCATGGGGTAGTTTTAATTAAAATTTATGGCTTTATGACAACTGTATAGAACCTTGATAACTTTACAAAGAAAATGACATCAGTTAATTAAAAGCATACATCTGAGAACTATAATTAAAACTTCAGTTTTAATACTGTTTGTAGGCAAATGAAACTAATAAGAACATTTTTAAGTGACAAGCAACAGCAAGTGTACAAATTAAACATACTAGGTTTAGCACAGTATGCTCAAAATATAATACCGTAAAATGCATGTCTTGAATTTATTATTGTTTTTTTTATCCAAACAGATTAAGATTAAAAAATACATTTTTCCCACAGCAAATTTCAGAAGCTGGTAATTCTTAAACATCTGGGGTTGCAGGTGCTCCAAATCCAGATTGGTATTCCTATGAATGTTTTGATTCATTCTCACTTCTATAATTTGTTGTTACATGACTACGTTTTGACATTTCCCTTGTAAATGTTCAAGAGGGACGTGGTGGCGCTGCGGGCTAAACCGCAGAAGCCTGTGCTGCAAGATCAAAAGACCAAGCAGTCGTAAGATCGAATCCACGCAACGGAGTGAGCTCCTGTCGCTTGTCCCAGCTCCCACCAACCTAGTGGTTCGAAAGCATGTAAATGCGAGTAGATCAATAGGAACCACTTCGGTGGGTAGGTAACAGCGTTCCGTGTCTAAGTCGCACTGGCCATGTGACCACGGAAGATTGTCTTCAGAAAAACACTGGCTCTATGGCTTGGAAACAGGGATGAGCACCACCCCCTAGAGGTGAACACGACTGGACAAAAATTGTCAAGGGGAACCTTTACCTTTACCTTTTAAATGTTCACATGTTATAGATATTACTGACATATAATATAGTATCTACTAAACACTTCACCAAAGCTCACCTCTTTTAGCTGCATTAAAATTTAAGACAGAGGACTGGCAGATATCATTATAATGAAGGAAGTGATTTTTTCAGCACTTCATTTATTATTTAATTAAGCAGTATTACAGAATTAGCAGTGAAGTAGGGTAAAATAATACAGGCATCAGAATTTTCTTGTTCTTTCAAACTAGCATTTTTAACTAGAAATATTTCACATCATCCATTGTTTTAATTTGCTCTTCAAAGGTCTGCTGCAAGCTCCCCATAAGTAGGGACATTGTCTTGCTCTATCCCTGGGTTCCAGAATTCTCAGGTTATTTCCTGGTATTTCCTAAGTAGAACCTGTGCATATAGCTCACTGATTATACATCTGATCTATGGTTCTGTGCATTCTGTTATTTATTTTATTTTATTTTATTTTATTTCTATCCTGCCCATCTGGTCTGTTTAAATTGTTAAGCAATTTAAACTGTTTTCATTAATACTTTACACTACATTAATTTCAGAAAGTTGGATTTTTACATTTTCTAACAAAGATGGGTCAAAATCAACGTTTCTTATTGTGCTATAGTCATTCTTTCTGCTAACGTTATGATACTTTTTTAAAAAAAAGAATAAAGTAAGTCTTTCTGCTAACGTTATGATACTTTTTTTAAAAAAAGAATAAAGTAAGTGTAAAAGCCTCCTCATGAGTCACAAAGGGGCTATTATGTCACACTCACTCACTCTTAATTCACACTGCCACCAACCATTCCCTCAAATAATACTTCAGGCCAATGTATGATTTCAAAATAAAAGAACTTGTGTTTATTGTGTACAACAAAAGGAATGGTAAATCACTTGAATAAAAATAATAAGGCAATTACTGTAATAAAGTAACACTCACACACACTCTCTCACAGACCCTCACTAGATAGCACAGTTCTTACTTCACAATATCTTCAAGCCCTAACCTTCCTAGCATAACCCTATCTGGTCCCTAACCAGCCCTATCTCCCAGCCCTATCTCATCCCTATCTAAAGCACTCACACCATTCACTCCCCTTGTATACACTAGCTCCACCCCTTAAGTCCCACCTTCCATCACGCTATTGGCAGATGACATACAGCTTCAGCAGTGACGGACAGGTGATGTCAACGTTACTGTAACAGTAAGTATATATGAATACTTTGTATGGATGTATGGCATAAAATGCTGATCGTTTTACAGCAAATAAATAGCAAATAAATAAACTGTTGGAAAGTTATTTCTTTAATATATATGAACTGTTTTTTACAACCTATGAAAGCTGTACATTTAATGTTAGTATTTTGTTGTTGTTTTTTCCTTACAGGAAGACCTACATGCAGCTGTACTCTGGGTTTCACAGGTCCAAACTGCAATAAAACGGTTTGTGATACTTTTTGTCAAAATGGAGGAACCTGCACTGTCACTGCTGGAAATCAGCCCCGTTGTCATTGCCAGCCTGAATATACAGGTGACAGATGCCAATACTGTAAGTAGAATAAACATCAGAAAGCACATTAAAACACTTAAAATGCAGAGTGATGGGCTTGTATACTGGGGAAATGTCTAAACACATGGCATGCGATGAAACATTACACCAAACCCCCACATCCTGCCTGCAAACAGCTTTAAGCACACCTTAATATTTTTGCCTGGCTGGCTTTGCCATGTATATTTGGGACACTTAACAATTTTTCTGTACTACTCAGAAGTTACTGATGTGTGCCTAAAGAAGTGGGTATTTTTATTCCATGAAAGATTACATGAGTTGTTTCATTTTCATTAGTTTAATAAAAGTATCATATTCCTCCACAATATTGTATTGTATAATGACTACATAGCTTCCTTGGGTTTTTTTAAAAATACATTCCAATAAGTAGATAGCATCCTGCATTATTACTTTATGATGTAAGCCACTGGTTCTTAACCTTGGATTACTCAGGAGTTTTGGACTGCAACTCCCAGAAGCCTTCATCAACAACTGTGCTGACTGGGGTTTCTGGGAGTTGCAGTTCAAAAGCATCTGAGTAACAAAGCTTAAGAACCACTGATCTAAGCCAGTGGTTCTTAACCTTGGGTCACTCAGGTCCTTTTGAACTGCAGTTCCCAGAAACCCCAGCCAGCACAGCTGGTGGTGAAGGCTTCTGGGAGTTGCAGTCCAAAAACACCTGAGTAACCCAAGGTTAAGAACCACTGGTCTAAGCTCATGATGAAGAGAAGGACAAAACTAAGGTGCAGAGAAGAGTTTTTTAAAGGGTATTCTTTGATAGAGCGAAGATAATACTCAGAACAGAACTTGATGGAAAAGGAAAAATTACTATTAATAGCTGGGCAAATCCAGTGTTAACATATTCCTTTGGAATTGCAGACTGGATGTCCAGTGATCTCGATGATTTAAATTTGTATTAACTGAGTCCTCTTGTCAAAAATACCAGTACCACCATCCAAAGATGTGCAGAGCACCTTAATTTGCCATGGAGTATGGGCAGGCTTGGGCTTCTTGACCTCAAGAATCACTTTATGGGTCAAATAGTGTCATTGTCGTTTAGTCGTTTAGTCGTGTCCAACTCTTCATGACCCCATGGACCAGAGCACGCCAGGCCCTCCTATCTTCCACTGCTTCCCGTAGTTGTGTCAAATTCATATTGGTTGCTTCGCAGACACTGTCCAACCATCTCATCCTCTGTCGTCCCCTTCTCCTCTTCCCTTCACACTTTCCTAACATCAAGGTCTTTTCCAGGGAGTCTTCTCTTCTCATGAGATGGCCAAAGTATTGGAGCCTCAGCTTCAGGATCTGTCCTTCTAGTGATCACTCAGGGTTGATTTCCTTCAAAATGGAGAGGCTTGCTCTCCTTGCAATCCAGGGGACTCTCAAGATCCTCCTCCAGCACCACAGTTCAAAAGCATCAATTGTTCAGCGGTCAGCTTTCTTTATGGTCCAGCTCTCACTTCCATATGTCACTACAGGAAAAACCATAGCTTTGACTATGCGGACTTTTGTGATGTCTCTGCTTTTTGAGATGCTGTCAAGATTTGTCATCGCTTTCCTCCCAAGAAGCAGGCGTCTTTTAATTTCGGAGCTGCTGTCTCCATCTGCAGTGATCATGGAGCCCAAGAAAGTAAAATCTGTCATTGCCTCCATATCTTCCCCTTCTGTTTCCCAGGAGGTGATGGGACCAGTGGCCATGATCTTAGTTTTTTTGATGTTGAGTTTCAGACTGTTTTTTGCATTCCCCTCTTTCACCCTCATTACAAGGTTCCTTAATTCCTCCTCACTTTCTGCCATCAGAGTGGTATCATCTGCATATCGGAGGTTGTTGATATTTCTTCCAGCAATCTTAATTCTGGTTTGGGATTCCTCCAGTCCAGCCTTTCGCATGATGTATTCTGCATATAAGTTAAATAAGCAGGAAGACAATATACAGCCTTGTCGTATTCCTTTCCTAATTTTGAACCAATCAGTTGTTCCATATCCAGTTCTAATTTGAGAACCATGTCGCCCTACCTATAATTTCTTAGGACGTGACTCCTAGCTTCAGGTTTGACCTTTTGGTCTACTCCTGTATATCAGCATTGCTGGGAAATAAAAACTGCAGTGTAATTATCATCATTCTCACCATCATCTTTGGTTTTCTCCCATGTACCGCCAATGTTGAAAAACAAAAATAATAATAATAGTATGCAATTAAGTCAGTTCTGACTCTATGAACCTTCTCAGGGTTTTGTAGGTAGAAAGTACCCAGAAGTGATTTATACTCTCTCCTTATAGTGGCACTTGGAGACTGTGCAGCTTGCCCAAGATCACACAGGCTGGCTTGTCTCCTGAGTGGCATCCTGGGCAATTGAACTTCCACAGACAGGTAACATCAGTGCTGTATGTAACAGCATCCTGGGCAATTGAACTTCTAACCCAGGTGCTCCACCTTAGTGAGCTATCCAGCAATTGTGGTTTCACCATATCTGTAACCAAAAATCTAGTAGAAAGCTATAGAAATATCATGTTTGTCCATTTTTTTCCTCACATGAGCATGTGCAAAATTCATTGGTGGGGTGTTATTCTTCAACATCAGTGCTGTATGTAACAGCATCCTGGGCAATTGAACTTCTAACCCAGGTGCTCCACCTTAGTGAGCTATCCAGCAATTGTGGTTTCACCATATCTGTAACCAAAAATCTAGTAGAAAGCTATAGAAATATCATGTTTGTCCATTTTTTTCCTCACATGAGCATGTGCAAAATTCATTGGTGGGGTGTTATTCTTCTTTTTTTTCCCTCCTGACTTATATGTTGTCTTCTCTTCTGTGAGTTTTAAGATGGGCTGCTGCAGTTTTAAGACAACCAAATAAAAATGTGGCAGAGTGGGGAAACAAGGATGTTGCTGAGACAACTGTTATAAAAAAAGGATTTTTAAACAGTAAAATGCTCTCAGCTTTTTTTTCTATTTGGGTTGCTTGTTTAATTTGCTATACAAAAGAATGGAAATGGATCATTTATCTCTATGATCTGCACTGAAAAAGTTATAGGCTAAAACGTTGGCATCAACCAGGTTGTTCATATAATCAGCTGTCTGCTTATTATTTCCTTAAATGTCCTCATCACCCAGAATACTGTATTTTTCTGTTTATAAGATGCCCCCATTTATAAGACGCGCCCCCCCTACTTTTCTAATCCCCAAATTAAGAAAACATAGCTTTGAGTATTCAGGCTCTGGGCTCAGAATCCTCAGACATTAGGGACCCCTGTTGCATCTAAGCTTACAGGCTCCACCTCCAATGTGGTGTGTTCTAGTTGGTTTGTACAGCATCAGCTGATGTCATGACTGTAGGAAGCTAATCCTTGTGATTGAAGGAAGCCTGTTTACAGAGACAAGGTACAGGCCGTTTTGTTCTCTCCTCAGCTATCTCAGTTTACTCCTGTGTAAAAGATGCCTCTCCATTTTTAGTGTAATGATTTTAGGAAAAAGTAGCATTTTATACATGGAAAAATACGATACTACAGTATCTGTATAAGAGGTATCATTTTTTGAGACAGGTGTATTTATGGTTACATGGGACTAGTGGTCTCATGAACTTCAATGAAATCTTCTATGAAAAATCTAATTTAGCCCTCTGATCCAGGGACTGGCATTCTGTGGGTTGCTGTCCCACTCTGAAACCCTCACCTCTAATTTCTATGGTATGTAACAATAATTATTTGCTGTCATCCTGATTCTAGTTTATTGTGACCCTCCAAGGATTTTTTTGGGGTGTAAACCAGAAGCGGTTTGCCAGTCACTCCTTCAGGTGACATTCTGGGATCATACAGTTCACTAAAGGCTAGACAGGTGACACAGTGCACAGTGTGAGCTATATACACTCCAGGTGATCTAAATATATCCTTCTCCCTGGAGGCACAATGGGAATTGAAATTTGCAGCTTCCTGTTTCTGTAGCTGGGTGCAGAACCAACCCACAACATGACCCCAAGACCTACCAAGCAGCTATCTGTGGGCTTGTGAAGTGCCCAAAGGGACTTGGAAAGAACGTCCACAAGGAGAATCTCTCCTTTGTCCCCAACATAGGTTTTGTTTGTCCCTCTAATCTTCTGTTTGGCAAGTTGCTCAGAGTTCAACTACCATGTTCTTGTGTGCTGTTCAGAAAGTAATTCTGGGGTGGGTGAGTGATAACTGGGACCCAATGTGTTTAATCATTCACTTGGAGGATGTGAGGGCTTTCAGGAGCTTGTACATATTGGTATGAGAGAAAGAGAGAGAGAGACATACAGATTTCTGTTTGCAGATAGCTGGGAGAAAAAAGGAGCTATGACATCCTGGCATTACTTATGTCCATCACTAAATGTGTCTCTTATTGGTTGTTACATTGATGTGATATGAGCTTTGCAGATAGCAGACTACTTGATGGGAAAATACTGAGAATATGATACAAAGGAAATCATTCTTCTTTGTTTACTTTTCTGATAAATACAGTAACATATGAAGATCCAGGAAAAGAACTTGGCAGCCTTTGGCACATGGGCTGTTATTGCACCAAATGATTAAATCTTAATAACAAGATCTGTCAAACTGCAAAAAAAATCACCTGCATGTTAAATGGGATGTTCACTGAAGTCTTTCCAATTGGGAGCCTATTAAATAAATACAAATATTTGGAGGAAAAAAACCCAGCAATAATTGTGATTCTGTTCCTCCTGGTATTAAATAAATTGCATGGATCCTAAAATAACTGCAGTTGGGTATTTGAAAACAATACAGTACATAAATCATGCATAGACAGACATACAGATTAAGAAAAAATATTTACTTGAGGCTTATCCAAAGCCAGACAAATTGTTTCTAGTTGACTGCTTCTGCAAACATTTTTTTAAAGGAATTCATTTAAATGTAAATTTAAGGGTCCTTGCTACACAGTGTGTTGATTATAAGATTTGAAAGTGTGCTGACTCAGTCTAAAATAACAGAATATTTCAGATAAACCAAATCCATTAATGAACAAATTAAAAGGGAAGGGAAGGGTTCATGTATACATTCCAAGAATCTAGGGACTTTTTTGTAGTGAATAGTAGTCATCAAGATGTATATTATGTGGTTTAGCTTGCAGGAAAGAATGTTGCTTCATTCTTCACACACCAATGTGAAAAAAGTTCTCCACGCGCATTACCAAATAAACTGACAAGAAGCTTGTCATATGAACTAGCAGTGTTATCCCATAAATGGAGAGCTTAGGAAAAATTGAAATTGCAGTCCATGACTTAGGGAAATCATTTGTTCAAAATCTGAGAGCAATTAATAACAAGCATCCCTAGCCACCATGGTATGACAGATAAGTTGATAGACAGACAAATAAACAGATGTACAGTATATCACAGAAGTGACTACATCCCCTCACATTTCATAAATATTTTAGTATATCTTTTCACGTGACAACACTGAAGAAATGACACTTGGCTACAATGTAAAGCAGTGAATATACAGCTTGTATAACAGTGTAAATGTGTTGTCCCCTCAAAATAATGCAACACACAGTCATTAGTGTCTAAACCGCTGTCAACAAAAGTGAGTACGCCCCAAGTGACAATGTCCAAATTGGGCCCAAGTAGCCATTTTCCCTCTCTGGTGTCATGAGACCCATTAGTGTCACAAGTCCCAGGTGTGAACAGGGAGCAGGCAGTACCGCTGTCACTTTCTCAGAGTGGGAAGTCACTGGAAGTTCCACATGGCACGTCAAGGTCTGAACTATCTGAGGATCTGAAAAAACAAATTTTTGCTCTACATAAAGATGGCGTAGGCTATAAGAAGACTGCCAAAACCCTGAAAATGAGCTGCAGCATGGTGACCAAGACTATACAGCAGTTTAACACAACAGGTTTCACTCAGAACGGGCCTCGCCATGGTCGACAAAAGAAGTTGGGTGGGCCTCGCCATGGTCAACAAAAGAAGTTGGGTGTCCGTGCTCAGTATCATATCCAGAGGTTGGCTTTGGGAAATAGCCGTGTGCGTGCTGCCAGCATTGCTGCAGAGGTTGAAGGAGTGGGGGTTCAGCCTGTCAGTGCTCAGACCATACGCCGCACACTGCATCAAATTGGTCTCGAGGGCCGTCGTCCCAGAAGGAAGCCTCTTCTAAAGAAGATGCAGAAGAAAGCCCACATATGGTTTGCTGCAGACAAAAAGACTAAGGACATGGATTTCTGGAACCATGTTATATGGTCCGATGAGACCAAGAGAAACTTCTTTGGTTCAGATAGTGTCAAGAGAGTGTGATGGCAACTAGGTGAGGAGTACAAAGACAAGTGTGTGATGCCTACAGTCTAACATGGTATTGGTGTCTGATGAGACCAAGAGAAACTTCTTTGGTTCAGATGGTGTCAAGAGAGTGTGACGGCAAGTAGGTGAGGAGTACAAAGACAAGTGTGTCATGCCTACAGTCCAACATGGTGTTGGGAGTGTCGTGGTCTAGGGCTGCATGAGTGCTGCCGGCACTGGGGAGCTACAGTAAATTGAGGCAACCAGGAATGCCAACATGTACTGGGACATACTGAAGCAGAACATGATCTCCCTTCAGAGACTGGGCTGCAGGGCAGTATTCCAACATGGTAACGACCCCAAACATGCCTCCAAAATGACCACTGCCTTGCTAAAGAAGCATAGGGTAAATGAGATGGACTAGCCAAGCATGTCTCCAGACCTAAACTCTATTGAGCATCTGTGGGACATCCTGAAATTCAAGGTGGAAGTGTGCAAGGTCTCTAATATCCACCACCAGAAGCATACACTGGGATCTTGTTGTAGGAAGTGCGCAAGGTCTCTAACATCCACCACCAGAAGCATACACTGGGATGTTGTTGTAGTCATTGAGGAGTGGAAGACGACTCCAGTGGTAACCTGTGAAGCTCTAGTGAATTCTATGCCGAATAAGGTTAAGGCAGTGCTGGAAAAAAATGGTGGCCGCACAAAATATCGACACTTTGTGCCCAATTTGGACATTGTCACTTGGGGTGTACTCACTTATATCGTCAGTGGTTTAGACATTAATGGCTTTGCGTTCTTTTGAGAGGACAGCACATTTCCACTGTTATACAAGCTGTATACTCACTGCTTTGCATTGTAGCCATGTGTCATTCCATCAGTGTTGTCACATGAAAAGATATACTAAAATATTTATGAAACATGAGGGGGTGTACTCACTTCTGTGAGATATTGTATATACTGATACTGACATTTGGGTATTTGAGTATTCTGCAGATAGTGTGGGCAAAAAATAGCACACCTTAAAAGCAGCAGACTGATGCATAGTTAATTGTAGTGAGCATATTCATAGATACAGTATTTGATATTATTCCAGTCTCGTCTTAGAAAATTCAGTTTGGCAAAAAATAGCACACCTTAAAAGCAGCAGACTGATGCATAGTTAATTGTAGTGAGCATATTCATAGATATTTGATATTATTCTAGTCTCGTCTTAGAAAATTCAGTTTAATCCAATTATGTATATGTACTGATGGAGAACACTTCTGTTACTGTTACTAATAATATATGCAAATGTTTGTTGATTGCAGATGTTTGTCACCATTATTGTGTTAATTCTGAATCCTGTATCATCGCTGATGACGGCAATGTACAATGTGTCTGTCCTCTAAGATATGAAGGTCCAAAGTGTGAAATAGACAAATGTGTAAAATGTAATGGAGGACAATGCATCATAGACAAGGAAAGTGATGACATAATGTGCAAGTGAGTCAATATTATGAGAAATTAAATATCCAGAAAATATGATACCATAATACATGCATAGACTATATACATATACTGCCACTATAGTGGCGGATTACATAACTGCTTGTAAATCAAACAAACTGGTTCAGCATGAAATAAATGCAGATTTTATATATTCTTTCAAAATACAGTACATACATGTAACTATTACTGAGATCTGCACAGATATTTAAAAGTGGCCAGCATGCAAAAGAATATTTCAGAGGAAAATGATCTATATGTTCATATCTTACTGTCACTGAAATATGGTGGACTTTGACAGTATGAGACATAATTGGTTTCACCACACTGTAGATGTCTGTGCTGACACAGAGATGTCTGAGCATATGTGTAAGGGAAGGCTTATTGTAGCAGGTAAGTATTTTTATTATTATTATTTAAAATATTCTTTCCCCACCTTTCATCTTAAAAATGCAGCTTACACCATTAAGAAATAATATTTAAAGCCAAAAACAATAAGTGAACGAATAATAAAAAGGATCAAACAGATACAGTGCTTTAAAAAAAACCCTGGTAAACAAAAAACAACACCAAAAGCACATTCAAAGCAGTAAGGCACAACCATCCATTTAAAAAACCCACACAGATAGTCAGTCATCTTTTGGAGTTAAAAAAAAAAAATCCCAAATTCATTCTGTTGGGCTGCCACAATGAACAGAATGAATGATTAATTAATTAATTAAAACATCTGTTTCCTTCTTTTGTTCAGAAAGAAAAGGTGGCTAACAGGCTCAGATTAATATCATTCGCAGCATGCAGGAAAATAAATGATTGGTAGAGCTAGACTCAATAATACATGGAGCCAACTAATTTTGGGTCTGCCTGTTCCTTCCACCAAAGAACGAGAACACTTTCTGCACTGTGTCATTCTTTAACTTTTAAAGCATCCTGATCTAACTGACTTTGGGGGAGGGAGAACAGTTCTTTTTTTTTCTCATTAGACTTCCACACTTCTGTTTCCACTGGGAAAAAATTCAGTATGAATGCCCCATCTTCATTTAAGACACCATTCCAGAGTAGGAAAGGGCAGACTTAGGAATGAAAGGGCACGAAGGGTACCTGCTCAGGTCACACATTGCATGTTACACCCTGCATAATCACAAAACAGACAGATGTCTGTAGACCAGGGATCTCTATTAGGGATCTCTGGTTTTAACTGTGGTCAAAAGAGCCTCTCCATCCAGATCTCTGTCCTCAAAGCAGTAATTAGACTTGTTAGTAAAAAGCTTCCAGTGGTGCCTAGGAAAACATTTACTGTCAGTTGAACAAGTCCATGCAGATTGATTTGCACAACTGTGCTACTCCCGCACCTCCAAATTGCCCATATGGGCTTAGGAAAAAGGACTCTTGTTGGAGCCATGAGAGGTGGGGAGACTGTAGATGGGGAAAGCAGTAGGACGGGTTAAACCTTCACTCCATGCTGTATATACACCATTCCTCTCCCCCCCCATCTCTTTTTGCCATGTTGGACTCTCTTCCCTCCCTAACCCTAGTACAAAAGTTCAACATCCCTTTGTTTTCTGTCCCTTCAGGTGGTGTTTATAGTTCCCTTAGAGCACTGATTGCTCAATGTTACAAGAGTTTTAGGTAGGGCCCAATTTTCTTTTAGAGGCAGAAATTGGAAAGCCTGCTATCTCAGGAAAGAATAGATATAGAAAAGCCTCATCATGGTCATTGCAGCCTCACATCTATGATCACCTGTTCTAGTTTTGTTTTATATGCTGAGACAATTAGGAGGCAGGCTTTGGGTTGATTACCTTAAATTCCAAAAGCTGAAAGACATGCAAAATTAACAAAGAATCCTATGGTAGTTTAAAAAAATAACGACAACACAGTAATATGAGTGTGTGGTGACGCTTCATGGCTCAGGTAAATATAAATATAAAAATTCTCAGAAGCATACACTGGGATCTTGTTGGCAAATGAAGAATGTAAGAATTCTGCAGTGGAATTTTCCATGTTTGCCCTGTCCATCTCACACTTTCAGTTAAAACAAAAGGGATTTCCACTTGAACAAGTTAGTGGATTCTCATTTGGACAAATTGTGTAGAATACTGCATTATTCTGCAGAAATTGCAGGATACTGGCAATAGGCTTCTACCAAGTCTCTGTTTCCTAGATTTCTAGAAATTAGTCCCAAACAACAGTATAGCAGCATAGTAGACAAATATAAATAGAGATGATGTAAACTGTTTCTTATAAGCTACCAAGAAAAAAAGGCCATTTAAAATTTCCAAAGTTCTTATTTTTCTGTTTACTAAATAAGTATGCATATTTAGTTGGATGATATAACAAAATGAAAAGAGGAGGTGAGGAGCAGAGGCATTCCTAACATTCCCCATACCTGGGTTAGTCTTGTTGTCATGTATCAGATAGGGCCGTTGACCTCCTGGAAGCAGAGGTCCCTTGGCATTGTAAGATCCCTACCTATGATGTTCTCTAGAAGTTATCTCCCAAAGAACTGGGACTCTCAGGAAGCAGCATGGCAACTTTTTTCTCCCTCCTCCTTTTTCAATTAACAACAGTGAGCAAAGGCCTGAGCAGCCAATGCAGCTTCAGTGGTAGGTCCTTTCTCTAAATGAGCAAAATCTAGATATCTGCAAATGTGTGCGTCTTATGTTCTAGAACCCATATAATTCTGTCTGGGAAATTTTTGGAGAGAGAAAAAAAACAACCCAGCATGTCCCTAACACATTGCAGTATGGCAATGGAATCAGTTACCTTGAAACGTGGTGAGTGCTCTGAAACTGGAGGCATTCAAGAGAAGTTTGGTCAACGACCTGTCAGATAGCCTTTGATTTGTATTCCTGCATGGAGCAGGGGATTGGACTCGATGGCCTTTTAGCCCCTTCCCACTTCACGATTCCGTGACTCCATGCATGTCTCATAAATTTTGTATAGCAAAGAAAAGAGTCATGCTGAACAAAGATGTTTGTGACCATTTGTACATGTTGCTTGTCTTGATGTACATAGGATCCAAGCATCCTTTTTTCAGGTACTCATACCACAATCCTATACCATTGGAGTGAACCATGAAAGAAACTTTACCCACTTGGACAGTAAGTACATATAGGTACAGAAGAATACTTTTTCTTAAGTTTCTCAAGTAATGAATTTGTTCCCTGATGCTCACTGGATAGCAGCATAGACTCACACTCTGCCTCGAGTAGAGGGTACCCATCCTCCTCATTCTTGGTTCCTGATTATAAGTACAGTGGTGCCTTGCTAGACGATGATAATCCGTTCCACTGAAATCACTGTTTAGCGAAATCATTGTCTAGCGAAAAGCATTTTCCCCATTGGAATGCATTGAAACCTGTTTAATGCATTCCAATAGGGAAGAATCGTCGTTCTCTAGTGAAGATCGGCTATAGGAAAGCCGCTTTGCGAACTGCCGATCAGCTGTTTAAATCGCTGTCTTGCAAGGCTTAGGTCCCGAAAACACCTGTTTGTGAGTGCAGAGGGAGCTGTCAAAATCGTTGTCTAGCGGAAATCGATTTGTGAAGCAGGGACCAAACATTGTCCAGCGAAATTCCCCCATAGGAATCACTGTTTTGCGAATCGCTATAGCGATCGCAAAAAGCCAATGTCTAGTAAAAATATCATGCGGGGTAGCTGTCTAGCAAGGCACCACTGTATTTGCAGGGAGGATTTGGGTGCCACCTTCCAAAAGGAAGACTCATACTAACTAATGAGGAGGCTGGCTGTTGTGCTACTTGCTGGTTTGGTAGGAAAGAGACAATCGCCTGTGTGCTCTAACCCATTGACTTTTACTGCTTAAAGCAAACCACAATTCCTAAAAAAGAAAGAAAGCAAATCAAAAGTGCAATTTAAAATTGAAGGCACTACTGTGACACCCTTCCCACCAAACTTTGAATTTATCAACAAATTCTACAAGAAGTGGAATTTCATTGTAATTTTATGAATGTTCTGCATGGATAAATTAGAAGCTATGTTAAATGTAAATTTAAGAGGCATATAGTGTCCTTTCCAAGTTTGCACATATCCCTACAGGATACCAACCAGAGCATTAGTAAATCCATTGTTTTCTGATCCCCTGACCAGGAATACTTGCCATTTGGAATGGATTCTGGATGCCTATAAGTTACTCATGTATTCCATCATAAGTCTGCTCTGTCTGATATATGTATCAGCCTATAATTAATACTGGAATTCTAAAAACAAATGTTTATTTTCATATGCAGTTTCCCTTGTATATACATTTTTGTCCCCTGTTTCTAAGGCAAAACTATATCACAAATGAATATTGAATATCACAAAAATAATACCTGTGCTCCAATCCACCTAGTAAGTCAGCTCACTTGAAAATGCAGAATGAAGGAAATACTTCCACTGTGATAAATCCTTTATCTTGTGATGAAAAAGATACTATCCAAAGGTCTCTGATCTTGCTACACATTATCCTTCTTTCTAACTTTACAACACAAATGGGCAACTGATATAACAATGTGAAATGGTGTGGGCTTTTTATTATAACATTCTTCAACAATCTGGGAAAGCTATCTAATAAACTCTTTTTTGCAGAGACAGAAAATGTTTCAAGTACTCAAATTCAACCGTAATAGTATGACTAACAGTTATTTTTCTCTACAAATTGTAGCTGCACGAATGGAAAAATTGCATCCAGTTGTCAATTATGTGATGGTTATTGCTACAATGGTGGTAGTTGTCAGCTGGACGCAGAGACCAATATGCCTGTCTGTCTGTGAGTATGCTGCTGTATCCAGTTGTCATTGGAACTTCTTTATATCTAATCACTGGCAAAGGCCATTTTGTAATGCTATAGTGTTTTTTTCCTGAGATGTATGGTTCACACCCAGACATGCACAGAGCCCTTTGGAATTCCAGGTCTGTTGGGATTTGGCAACATTCAGTGGTTAGGTGAATGCTTGCAGAATGATTGCCATTTGTAAGTATCTACTATATGATATTAGTGCTGTCTGCTTCCACTTTTAATTACTGTGTAGATACCTGTATATGAATTTCAATCATCAGCAGATGACAAAGTATTAAGTACCTATTGTTTCATGGTGCACAATGTTTCTTAATATGTTTTGTTTCCTATAAACAATACTGCCATTGTATTTTAAGGATATTTTCAGAGTATGATTTTAAAGTCACGTGTCAGAATAAATTGACATGTGTGTAATCATTTAATTGTATAAAGTAGCTGCAACATACATCTTTGTGGTATTACTGGCAATGAGAATACTTTTTAAAAAGAGTAGAGAACTCAAACAATCAGAAGTTGTTTGAGTTCTGCAATTGTGAAGGAGGGCTGAGAGTAGAATTTAATCCCCATGTATCCAGCAGCAGCTGCCTCATTTTACCTTAGTTTGATAGTACTGGCGGACTTTTAGCTTGTTAATGGTTCGGCATGTGAGCAAAACACAGGTAGAATGTTTCTAAATGAAGATCATAATTTCCACATATGCTGAACCATTTAATTTGATTTTCCTTTAAGTAGTATTTGAAAAAAAAACCCTATTTTGTTTTGGAAACAGGACTAGACTTCATTAGCAGTGTATTTAGTTCTTAGGATATTTTCTCAAGCTCCTTGTGGCTGAGAACAGAATGTTTCTTCATAGCATATTGCATCAGAAAAAAGGAATGCAAAATGTCTTTTGCTGTCAATAGATTAGGACTGTATTCAGGGGACTTGATCTGTCATCCTGCTATGGGTACACTGACTCCGCGTAGGAGGGTCAGCATGTTGCTTCTGTCCTTGAGCTTAATAAGCATTCCAGACAATGGCACCATTGCCAGGTGTATTAGCGATCAAGCTCAGAACTGACAAGACTGGCACTCTTGTGTGCAGCAGGGCGGAGTGCAGAGACACGCCTTTACCAGCAACTATCAGACACTATAGGTGCCTGGAAGTTTGCACAAAAAGAGGGGAAGGAAGCAACAGGATTCCGTTGAGTCTCAGGCCCATCCTTTGCTCACGGGCATTGTACCCACACCAGGCTGATTTGTACCCACAATTTTCAGTAAGGGTTTTATGAAGAGATTATGAGTCCTACGAAAAGACTGAGCTTTTTCCTTACTATTTATTTTTACCCTCACTGTATATATATATATATGCATTTGAAACCTGTTCCACAAAAAAGGCAGAATATTTATTTATTTAGCTGTATTTTACTGAAATTCTGCAGATGCTCTTTGGGGTTTAAAAGTCAGCGCTGTGACCAGAAAGTGAACCCTTGTGATTACTACTGTCAGAATGAGGGAATTTGCACTTTAACTGCGTTTAATGAACCGAGATGCAAGTAGGTTTAACCTTCCACTTAATGCTGAGCATTTTGTGACATCATTCCAGGCCACAGTTCATTGGTTCACATCATGTACATCCATATACATTTCACAATTTATACTTAATCTCGGGGTTTGTTTGTGTAACAAGATGGAACTTTTTTGTAGCTTTGCTAATGAGTATATTATAGCATAGATTGCTGGCTATACTGTTGACATTTTATTAGTACACTAATATTATACTACACTACTTAATGAAAATAATGTAGTATTTGATGAGGTTTTCTAAATAATACTACCATATTTTTCGCTCCATAAGACGCACCTCTCCATAAGACGCACCAGATTTTTAGGAGAAGAAAACAGAAAAAAATAATCTGTTTTCTTCGCTCCATAAGACGCACAGTCTTTCCACCCCCCCGTTTTGTGGGAAAAAAGTGTGTCTTGTAGAGCGAAAAATACAGTATCTTTTCATACTATAGTGTAGCAAACTATATATAAAGTAGCAAATTATACATACATTTATCACTTGGTATGCTGGGCTCCCACACTCTTAAGTTTGAGAATGTGTAAATTAATTGAACAAGGAGACAATTTGGTAGCTGCTGAAGCAATAAACAACTTCATCAATATAATCCAAATTTATTTTTCCAAAACAGTTACACAAGCAACTACAAATTAGAAGAGAGAACTTAACTCTTTCATATTTTATTGACTGTGTACAATTAATTTTCATGTTATATCTTTCAAGCACAAACATATATGCTTCTATATAAAAATATAATATAATAATATATTAATGCCCATGAGGAAATAAAATTGCATTTCTATTATGTAGCAGAATTTTCAAAATGACTCAAATAATAGATTCAAATTAGAAGTTTATTGACACAGGGTACAAACCCATACAGAAGTTGTTTAAACACTTGAAATAAATAAGCACGCTTAACTGTGTGTTGGATGGCAGCTACAATGTCTGACTTAGAGTTGCTTATAAGGGAGTGTCTCTTGGCTATGTGGCTATTACTGGCAGTTCTTACATGCTGTGGTGGCATATATGTTCGCCTTATTGTTCCCCTGCCACTCACCCTGTGGATTGTCATAAGGCCACAGTGCTCAACATTTCTGTCAGGTATCAACATCCAAGGTTCCTATATCTGGGATATGTCATTCTGTGGAGCCTGGTTCTCTAGACTTTCTTTCTTTCCCTCTATTTTCCTTGTGAATTTTTAACAAAGGGCTCTAGGGTTTTTCCAGGTGTTCACTTTTGTCTGTACTTTCAATGACAAAAATGTGTTTCGGTATGCTTATGCATTTTCCTATGCATACTTATCAAATTTGTGTATTTTCTGCTACACATTTTTTTCTGTTGCACACAATATTGTACAAGTCTGGAAACTGTCCAATCTGCATCTGTTCTGTGGTGCTGCAGATTAGGAATTCACCCTTTCCCAAATCAGATGGAGTAGATTCTTCACACATCCCCAATCTGTAAATGCCTACAGTTCAATTAACAGTTTAAGATAAGGTAATTGTCATGTGGAGCTACTGCCACACAGAAGCATTTCAATACTATGAGCATTTGAATAGGCTGTTGTCATTTCCAAAAGCAGTTCAGCCATTTTTTTTCCTAGCAGCAGTCTTTCAGAAATGTGACATGTCTGCCTTCTTTCTCTTCCTTACATAAAGATTCCCTTTGTGTAGAAGTATTGGTGGAAAAGCTTCATAGTGCCAAAATTCTGATTTAAACTCTAAACATAAATTATTTAAGTCATGTCTGATGATCAGTGTGTTATGTCTACTCCATCCCACTTCCACTACAAATCTTACATTTCATAAAAGAGTTTAGGATTCTTAATAGACTATTGGTGGAATATGAGAGGGTTATGAACATCAGCATTTCCAAGTATTATTTTATTTACCTGTACTTGTTTTTATCTAATATACTTAATAGTTGTTGGCTATTGCTGCCTGTTTCTAACTTACAGTTTATCAGTCAGTATATGTGATTATATATATATATATATTTTGAGATATCATTGTTTTATTTGCAGTAATATTTATTTATTTATTTATTTAATCATTCATTCAACTTCTGTACTGCCCATTTGGCTACCAAGGCCACCATGCTGTTTCAAAACATGACTTAAAAAACATAAATATGATAATTATACAAAAACTAAAATTAAACAACTCAGTCCACATACACAAAAGTCAACCTCAGAATATCTAAAACTAATTTGAAAAGGCAAGATAGCGGGACAGGTGATATACGGACTGAAAAAGTCTTTCTGCTATAATAGTGTAATCTCCAGGAAAGCCCGTTTACATAATTATGTTTTCAAGGATCATTTGAAAATTTTCAATGAAGGGGCCAGGCAAATTTCGGGCAGGAGACTATTCCAGAGGTGGGGTGTGATAGTCAAGAAGGCCCAGTTTCTGGTCTTCTCTTTCCAGGCCTCTCTCAGCATTAGTGCTCTCAACCACCCAGTCTGGGAAGATTGAGTAAGTCGGGCAGATCTTATTAGAAGGAGGCACTCTGCCAGATATTGAGGTCCCAAACTATTTAGGGCCTTGGACGTCGGCATCATCACCTTGAAGCTGGCATGGAAATGGACAGGTAGAAAGTGCAATGTGGCCAAGGTAGGGGAAATATGATGGTATTTCTTCACTCTACTCACTAATCTGGCTGCCATATTCTGGACCTGTTGGAGTTTCCATAGAAGCCTCATGGGCAGCCCCTTGTAAAGAACATTACAGTAATCTAATCTTGAGAATACCAGTGCATGGACTAGCATGGTGAGGGATCCAGTGTCAAGGTAGGGATGCAACTGAGTGATCCGCCTCAGGTGGTAAAAGGCAGAATGGACCACAGATGATACCTGGGACTCCATTGATAGCACTGGGTCCAAGAGTACACTCAGATTGTGAACCTCATCCTTAGTGCAGAGAGTAGTCCCTGAAATGAAAGAGAGGCCGTAGACACTAGAGGCAGCCACCCATAGGATCTCCATCTTGTCTGGTTCAGCCTCAGTCTGTTATCCCTCATCCACCTCAGCAAGGCATCCAGGCAGCATTCAAGGGATGGGACTCAACTGCAGAAGGATGGAAGGAGAGAGAGAGTTGTGTGTCATCTACATATTAGTGACATGAATTTCCAAAACTCCTGATGACCTCCTGAAGAGCTATATGTTTTGGGAAAAGATTGGAAGAACAATAGACAAGGAGTGTTCTTTTTTTTTAAATGATATCTACTTGGAATACATCATAGTCTCTGAGGTTATCAAATCAAGGGCACCTCCTTTTTAACAAGTTATATGTTCCCTTTGGGTCACAGCAGAATTGATTTTTATTTTTAGAAAATGTTATCTGAATTCTGAAATAGCTGAGAATGCAATTTATGATCCCCCCAGGCTATGTTAGTCTTTTGCAGCATTACTGGATCAAACCAGGGGTCTTGTGAAACTGAAATGTACTGTATATCTCAAACAACCAAGAATGTTGTGGTCCCTTTAGGTCTGTCATGTTTTAGTTGGTATGAGTTTGCATGGACAAAATGCACTGTATTCAAACTTCCTGAATAACTTTTATCCTGGCAATAGTGAAGGCTGTTTTTGTGTGCCATCAAGTCAGTTATGATTTATAGTGACCCTACGAAACAGTAACCTCTGAAAATTCTTATCATTAGCAGCCCTGCTTATATTTTGCAAACTCAAGCCTGTTCCTTCTTTTATGGAGTCCATCTCCCTCATATTTGGTCTTCCTCTTTTCCTGCAGCTTTCAGCTTTTACTGGCACTATTGTCCTTTCCAGCGAGTCTTCTCATGATAATGCTAAGTCTCAGTTTCATCATTTTTTACCCCAGAGAGAATTCAGGCTTGATTAGATCCGGGGCCCTCTTCTTTATCTTTCTGAATGTCCAAGGTATCTGCAAAGTTCTTCTCCAGAAGCGTATTTCAAAGGAATTTAAATTTTTGTTCTGTTGGCTTTCTTTGCTGATACAATGGTCACTTTTCTATATCTTATCCCATGCTATTCCACCCCAGAAACAAAACCAACGTGCATGCTAGTCTGCGGTCTAACTATTGTGCTCCATGCATTTGAAGAAGTGGGATACTTCCACGTAAGCTCATGCCAAATAAAACCTTGTAAGTCTTAAAAATGCCACCAAACTCTGTTATTTAAGATTTTAGATTTAGAATACTCTTGATTGCACCCTGTCCTCAGATCTACTGATACAGGATAAGTTAGAAATATCTTAATTTATAACTTTAGAAATACCTTAATTGATAACTATATAAATTTCATATGGACTTGCGAATACAAATTATTATTATTAATGGTTACATAATTTAAGAGATGATTCACACAATTCATATATGTGTGGGAGATTCAATAAAATACTGGAATGTATTTTCACATCTTCATAATTTGCATCCTGTCCTAATTCATGTTGTGAATCACTTTGGGTTCTGCCATGGGAGAAATGTGAGATATAAATAGATAATACATATCATGACCCAACTTGCTGTTACTCCTTTGTAGCTGGCAACCAACTTCCTATGTGTTTTGAACATGTTTAGTATCCGGTGAACTGTTTTGGGTGGGTTTTGCCCTGTTCCCTTCCCTTTTGTTCAAATAGCATTTTATATTTCTCTAATTTCCGTCTTTGTCTTGTTTCTCACTGGCTCAGTTTTGACAGTGCCCAACAGCACTCATTCAAAGGTGCTGTTATAAGAAGTGATCTTGTCCCACATTGTGTTCCCATTATTTACCAGCTGAAATCCAGTGACATGACTTTGCTGCATAAGGCTGATTCCTCCCCCCCTGAAAGTACCAAGAGTCTCTTTGATCTCTTTTGTCATAGGGAATAGAGATAGGTACAAACTGTGGTTGGCGTTTTGGTGTGGTTCAGTAGATCTGACCCACAGGTGTTGCACAGGTGCCTGTATTCCCCGCCTCACCTCCTCCTGCAGGTGTCTACTTCGAGGAGGAGGAGAGGCAGGGAAACCCAGGTT